GGGACGGGTGGGGGGGCCGGCCAGGCGACGAGTGGAGGGCGGGGGAGGAAAGGTGAGGGGAGGGGTTGGCGCAGGGCAGCATGGGAGGCGGCCCCGGGCGCCAACTTTCAAAAGCGGGCGCGATGGCGTAACGGGACGCGCTGCGAGTCACGTCACGCCGCACGCGCCCTCCCGCGCTCTCGCCTGGTCGCGCGTGGGCTCCGCGGGCGCCGCGAAGTCCCGGCTCCCGCTGGGTGGGGCTCCTTAGGAGGAGGTCGCCCCCTCTGGGCGGTCCGGGGTCTAGGGTCCGCTTAACCTAGTTCCTTAGCTGCAGCCTCCCGCCCTGAACCAGTGGAGGGTGTTTGGAGGAATCCTGTGTGGGGCTAGGTGGTGGGGCTGAGGCGTTTCTTGGGCCAGGCCCCTCCCCAGTCTCCACCCTAGCCTGGCCCGACCCGCCTTTCGAGCGCCGCACAGCATCCCGCCAAAGAGTAAGGCCCGTCCGGTCCCCGCGCATTCTCATCTCAAACAATTCAGCGCCCGGGAGCGACAGCGAGAAGAGCTGCCTTTTCCCAGCGTCTTTTGGGAATATCTCCGCCCTAGAAGAGGGCTTCTTTTTGTCCCTAGGCCACCTCAGCTCGGATAGGCCAGCGGAAGACTAGACTTCATGCTTTTACACGATCACAACAGTCGTCTTTTGACTAAAGGACTTTGTATTTGGCTCGGTGTAATTGTTTTCCAAAATATGCGTTTCTTGTCTTTGCCCTGAGGGCTGTTAAATTCCCTGGGCTGGCTGAGTCCTCCTGCCGCTCAGAGTGTGGGCGCCCTCTCCCTCCCCAAGATGCACCCGCGGAGGTGCAGCGGACGATGAAGTTGACGGAAGTCCGACTGGATATTCTGGTGGCTCCGGGAGAGCTTTTGGGAATCTGACTCAGTGTTGTATTCTCAACTCCCTTAGCGTCAAGGGGACAGCTTCTGCTCCATTCTGTTATGAGAATGCTGCCACAATATTGACAGATTTGTATGGTGTGTGTTTTTTAAGGGAAGCAGAAATCTGGATTTTTAAATTTCCAGATGTTTTTAAACTGCATGAGCTGATTAAACCACACTTGTGGTTTAATCTGACTTAAAGGAAAGAGTGAAGAGAAGTTCCGGTGCCAAATACTAGGCACTCCGGCAGTTAGAGATAGGATAATGGAGACCGAGAGGAGGTAGCCAGGAAGGCAGAAGGAAATCTAGTGTTGAGTTGTGAAATCTAAGGGCAGAAAGGTTTCAGGTAGGATGGGAGTGGTCAATTGTGTCTACTACTGAGAGGTATACTTGGGCTAGAGATATGGTGTGAATTGGTCACCTTGGAGATCACTGGAGAATATCATTGGTGGCTCTGGCTTGATTCATGTTGGTAAATCAGAAATGTGGACATGACTATAATGGGTTGAAGAGTGAATGAGAAAGTGAGGAAATAGAGACTGCACATGTAGACAGCATGAGAGAAGTTTTGCTGTGAAGAGAGCAAAGAAGTGTAGGGCTAGCTAGAAGGATATAGGATCAAGAGAGGTGTTTTTGTTTTGTTTTATCTATTGATTCTAGAGAGAGAGAGAGAAAGAAAGATTGATTTGTTGTTCTACTTATTTATGCACACAGTTGATTCTTGTATGTGCCCTGATCGGGGATGGAACCCTTAACCTTGGCATATCAGGACAACTCTCTATCAACTGAGTTACCTGGCTAGGGGCAAAAGAGATGTTTAAAAGATGGTAGGCTTCTATAGCATGTTTTTGTGCCATTGGAGGTGATACAGAAAAGAGAAGGCATACTCAACCTATACAGGAGTGAAATCCATGGAAGGATATAAGAAAACTGGGAGGATTGACCTTGGCTAGGAACAGGATGCTTCCACTGTGATAATCGGTAACTAAGGTGAGGATGATGCAAATGCAGGGGAAAGGGAAAGCCGACTTACAGCTTTCCTAGTAGGACTGCCTTGGCAGCATTTGGTACCCATTTGAAGTTTATGATCATTAGTTTAATGTTAAATCAATTGGCCCAGTGTGTGGTTTTTCTCCAGCAATATTCAGCTGCTTGGATATAGACATAAAGAGAGATAATTTGGTTTCTCAACACCAGAACCCAAATTTTTGATTCCTCATCTCAAGCACTTGCCTTATGTGATTAGCTACTATTCTAGAAATGTGTGAAGTATTGTGAAAATTTACATGTGACCCCTGTTCTAGGAACTAAGTGGTCCTATTTGTCTCTTATGAACAGGCCTTAAGATTCAAACATAAAGAAAAAGTAAACTTAGACAAAATTATCTCTGGAATATTTGCTTTTTGCATTTTCTTCAGCCTTCTACCCCAAACAGCTCCTGGTAGCCTTAGGAACTATGTACTAGAAACAACAAAGTTAACTTGCACCTAAATGATTGGCTTCTTTTTCTTTCTAGTACCTTTGATAATCTAATTATTTACTTTCTCTAAGATTTTACTTCAAACCACCTTCCTTATCGTTAAGAGTAGAGTACAAGAACATCTTCTTAGGCTTTAGGATGGACAAATATAAGGTAGTGTATTTAGATGGAAAAAAACCTCAACTATATTTACAATTATATTTATAACTGCTGTGGTCAGAATATTTGTAGTTCCTCCAAAGTTCATATGTTGAAATTCTAATGCCAGATGTGATGGTATTAGTAGGTGAGGCCTTTGGGAGGTGCTAAAGTCGTGAAGGTGGAACCCTCATAAATGTCATTGGTGCCTTTTAAAAGAGGCTTCATAGAGAGCCCTAGACCTTTCCACACTGTGAAGTCACAAGGAAAAGGCTGTGAGCCAGGAAGAGGGCCCTCACCAGAATGTGACTATGTTGGTGCTTTTTTTTCCTCTTAATCCTCACCCAAGGACATTTTCCCATTGATTTTTAGAGAGAGTGGAAGGGAGGAAGGGAAGGGGGAAAGAGAGAGAAACAGCGATGTGATAGAGACACATCGATTGGTTACCTCCCGAATGCACCCTGACTGGGGCGGGATCAAACCTGCAACCCAAGTATATGCCCTTGACCGGGACTTGATCCCAGGACCCTTTGCTGTGCAGGCCGACACTCTAACCACTGAGCCACATGGGCGAGAACTATGTTGATGCTTTGACCTCGGTCTTCCCAGCCTCCAGAACTGTAAGCAGTAAGTTTCTGTT